AACAATAGTCCATACAACCACAATTATAATGACAACGGCACAGAGAAACAATATCATTGGAATCGCTTTCAGAGCTGATGCGTAAAAACATTGGCAGCCAATCAGAATCCATCCTGCTTTAAAGAGCTTGAGCATTTATAGCGGCAGACGACAAAGAATAAACAGAACAAAATCGTCCATTGGTGTGGATGCTAATATCGTTATTATAGCTATCATTCTGGGTGTGAACGAGCCCTTAGAAATGATCCAGTAGCTTGTGTAGCTTCTTGCTGTTTTTCTTGGGCAAAGACATTTTTAGATTTCTTTTCACCTGAGATAATACAATGCGATTTCATTTCTCATTCTTAAAGGTCTGAGCATTCGATATTATTGTACATTGTGTTGCCTTGAAAGTTTGCACACTCATTCTGCTCAAGTCCTTGGTTCACGTTAACGCAACTTCTCAATAGTTGACATGAATAGTGTAAAAGATTTGTTTGCCTTTTGTGTAAAGGAACTCCTTTGTGGGCTGAAATATGCTGCAGCGTCTTCTGTGCAGTTCATCAAACATTTCTTTTAAACTTACAAAACTTGTTTACATAAAGCACCACAGTGGTTCTTCCAATAGTTTGACAGACTCATTCATGAGGGGTCATGAACTGCATTATTTTATGTTTCCTGGGGTGCACATATAATTTTAGTATGATATTTACATCAAAAATTGTCATAATTTAGAAATAAAAGGCATTTCCCCACAGCTTGATTTTATCCCTCTGATTTGAACGCTCTGTTTGAAGGGGCGTGTCTGCTGAGAGACAGTGTAAACACCCACTTCTGTGATTGGCTGACATCTTTGCATATGAAATAAGTGTTACAAGTGGAACTCTCTTGAAAAAAACGTATATCTCTGGTCACAGATCAGGCGTTAGAATAAACACATTTACTTAGGCTACATGTGGTTGCATTACTGTCAAGTCCATGTCGTAAAAGTCTGTTTGCAGATTTACCAAATAATCCATAGTGAAATGCAATGAATACAAATAAATATTGCTGGTAACACTTTACAATACATGTGCACTAATAAGCATTAATTCATGCTTAACTAATGCATAGATAATACTGAATTAATGTGTAACTAATGATCATTTCAGCTATTCATTAATGATTACCACATTAGGAACTAATTAAGAGTCTGTAAGGTTAATGTATTAGTTCATACATGAATTGTTATTAATTAAATATGTAATGTGGATTAATTCCATAATAACTCATTTTTTTAACTAATAGTGGTAATTAATATGTTAATTTCAACTTGTATTTCAACTTCCAGACAATATGACAGGTACACTAATATGCATTAATACATTATTAATTACTTCATTGTTAGTGCAAATTCATGTGCAAATTACTACAAGTACTAAATGACTAGTTAATAATGATGTGCCCCGACAAGTAAAGTCATAACATAATGATACCTTTGCAAGTCATTAGCTAATGATTAATTAAAGCAGACAACTGGAAGTTGAAGTGCATAACTTTGACTAATTGTGGTAATTAACATTAACATTATTAGTTAATAAAATATGTTATTAAGGAATTAATACACAATAACACATTGAATTAATAGCAATTCATGTATTACTTAATCTATTAATCATATTGACTGTTTATTAGTTGCTGATGCAGTAATCATTAATTAATGGTTTAGTTCTTCATGAGTTATACATTAATTAGTTAAGGATGAATTAATGCATATTTGTGCACCCGTATTGTAAAGTGTTACCATAATGCTCAACTGAGACATTCAAGTCCGTTCTCATCCTTTGGCGTCATATAGGTGACGCCATATGACATTTTGTCGAAATACTACGCACTTGGCACCCTTTAGCATCAATATAACACGCAGAACCCAAGGCGTCATACAGGTGACTGGCATCCTTTAGCATCAATATGAGACGCAGACCCTACCCCAGACCTAAGCCTACCCACAACAGTGCGTGTTATATTGACGCTAAAGGGTGCCATGTGCGTAGTATTTCGACGAAATGTCATATGGCGTCACCTATATGACGCCAAAGGATGAGAATGTGTTGGACATTCACATCTTGCCATCCCCAAAGCATCTGCAACACTTGCTAGCTCTAGTAACACAGTGTTAAAGGGTTAGTTCACCCAAAAATGAAAATTCTGTCAGTATTTACTCACCCTCATGTTGTTCCAACCCCGTAAGACCTTCGTTCATCTTCGGAACACAAATTAAGATATTTAAGATATTAAGATCGCTCCTGCATACAGTCCATAGGCTTCTTGAGGGACTGGCTCTTGCTGTCCTCGAAAAGTCATTAAAGACATCGTTAAAATAGTCCAAGTGACTACAGGGGCTACAGGGACGAAAACACTTTTGTGCGCAAAAAACAACAAAAATAACGACTTTATTTCAACTATTCACTTCCTTCTCCATGAGCCTGTAAGTCAGTTAACGTAGTGTGATTGCGTAGAGCTACGTCACACGTAGGCTCACTATTGGCCGACGCTGGTCATGTGTGTGATGCGTGTGACGTACAATAACAGAAGCTTACGCTATTAAACTAGTAACCTGACTCGCGCAGAGGGAGAAATAAACGAATAGTTGAAATAAAGTCGTTATTTTTGTTGTTTTTTTGCGCACAAAAGTGTTCTCGTCGTTTGATAAACTTAAGATTGAGCCCCTGTAGTCATTTGGACTATTTTAACGATGTCTTTAATGACTTTTCGAGGACAGCAAGAGCCAGTCCCTCAAGAAGCCTATGGACTGTATGCAGGAGCGATCTTAATATCTTAAATATCTTAATTTGTGTTCCGAAGATGAACGAAGGTCTTACGGGGTTGGAACAACATGAGGGTGAGTAAATACTGACAGAATTTTCATTTTTGGGTGAACTAACCCTTTAAAGGTCCCCTGACATGGGGTTATTTAAAGGGGGGGGTTGATTGCGATTAAAAAAAATTAATTGCGATTAAATAAAATTGCAATTAAATTAATCTTGAATGATCGTTCATTATTATTGAAAACAGTCGTGCAGCTTCATATTGTATGGAAACTATGATATATTTTTATTTAGGATTATTTGATGAATAGAAAGTTCAAAAGAACGGTATTTATCATCTATTTTGTAATATTATAAATGTCTTTACTGTCGCTTTTGATCAGTTCAAGGCATCCTTTCTAAATAAAAGTAGCCTATTAATTTTTTTTTCTTCTTTTTTTTAATCTGGAGCCAATAGACAGAACATTTCCAGATGCAGAGAGAAATGAGAGAAAAGATCAAAAGAAACTCAAGTGCAGGGAATCCAACCATATTTGCCATGTACTCATCACTGAGCAGATACAATACTACCTAATGGAAAAGATTATTTATTTCAGAAAAGACCAACGTGAATATGCTGCTTCTAAACATCCAGCATCTGTTAAACAGTTTGGGTCTTAGAAGAAAGACGTTATTAGGCGAATGATATAAAAATATAGTGTTTAATATCTATGCTTCTCCTGACTAAAAAGCTGAGGATCTCCTGTTCTGAAGGCAGGTTTAAAGTGGTGTTACCATGGAGACATCCATCAGTGGAACGTAAGATTAAAGGCTATTTTGCAGTCAATCATTTTAGTGGCGTATACAGAGACTATGACATTCAAGCATCAAGCATTTATTCAGAAGGAGAACCGTGGAGAAGTGAACCGCACATATTTTACGATCTACTCTGGTTTGGGATCAAGCAAAATCTTCAACTTTCAAAACAAATCCAAAAATAAAAGTGACATAAATGATTTGCAAGTTTAGAGGATACTTGACTTAGTGTGGCTCATACTATCAAGCAGCACAACAGAGAGAAGTTTCCATAAAAAAATAAATAAAAGAAGGACACCTTGAGAGACGAGATGATTCCCTCTGTAATCTCAGGCCTGAAGGACGGAGAGGTGCTTTGATCCAGTTCTGGCCGCTGAGAGAGAACACGTCTATGTCAGTGGAAACTCGCTCACTGAGCAGTCATCACCTTACGGACAGAGTCTGGATGACTTCAGAAGAATGGGACAAGTTACTGTACATGACATCATTGTGACAAGTTGCATTTTATTCAAGTAAAAACATACAGTGGACCGAGAAGTATTTAACACATGGGCCCAATTTTAATGATCTAAAACACAAGTGTCAAGCGCTAAGTGCAAGTAACTTTATGGGCTGGTCTTGGGCGCTGTTGCTATTTAACGCCTCCCTTTTTGCGCTGAACCACCCCCGGGGGGTGCAAGTTCATTCCCTAGTTCTGACGTGCGCCTGTGGAGGGAAAAGTCCGCTTTACACGGTTGCAAAATACGAATGATACATGCGTCAGTGTACAAAGTCATTTGAGCCGGGTGCAATTTCGCCTTCTTGCCTTCACTGCAGGGTGCCTTTTTTTATTTATTTATAGATAAATATTCAATGTTGTCAATATGAGGTCATAAAAAGTGCATGTATATGATTTTAGATTTATTTGTGAAACATTTGTATCATTTTAGGGCCACTAAACACCTAAATAAAACATTGCAAATGTTCAATATAGCCATTGACTATTAAATTAATAATAATAATAATAATAATAAACTTTATTTTATATAGCGCCTTTAAAAGCAGCTTCTTAATACGCCGTACAAGAAAAACATACATAAAACTATGAATAAAATTAAACATCCACTAGTCTGAAGTTGATACTGGATTAATACTGATTTTTTTTCTATCTTGTATAAATCAAGGATTAGAAGTGGTTTGGGCAAGGACAACTACGTTTTCCATAGGAATTGTTTTTTTTTTTTTTAAAGAAAACCAATTTTCAATGTGATTATTTGAAAAGTGTGAAACATTAATTTCTTCCTCATTTGATTTTTTCAACAGCAAATTCTAAACATTTAAATAGAAGTTACAACAATCTCACACTGGCAAGTTCTGAAAAGAAACCAAATGAAGATTTATTTGGACGGAAAGGTCCGTTAGTGGAAAAAAACAGTTTGATTCAAGATTTTTTTGGCACTTTTATTTAAACTAGAGTGCAAAAATACTCAATAAACTGATTGGTTGTTGTCCATTGGCTTTACGGTTTCTGCCAGCAGGTGGAAAAACTGCAAACTCTGACAAAAAAACGCAAATAATTACATAAAAAACATTCATTTACTAAACTGAAAAAATTTTGAATGTTGAAATGATCCAGGCCAGAATCCCAGTGGACTGTATTGTTGTTCAGAATGAACAAATTCAAAATAAAAACACAAATTCATTCATTTAAATCTAATTTAAATTACAGCTTCAAGTTTAAATAATTCTGTCAAGAAAAATTCTATATTTACACCTACAATCCCTTTATAAAAACATTGTTCTGGAATTTTGTGTCATTTCTATCACATTTGTTCTGAAAATGTCATGGTTTAACAAAGAATGTACAAAACATTTAATTCAGAAATAGAATCTCCCATGTGCACATCAATTAAATATTATCATAATTGCAAAAAAGAAAAACACACTCTTAAAGTACAAAACTATGCGATCTTTATGCAAATTACCTTAATATGAGAACCCATTACAAACAACATTAATGCCATGTATTTTTTACCTGGTGAACTGTGAACTCCTGCTATTCGGATGTTTATACGTACCTGTTTTGAAAATCATTACAATGAATACTTTACAAATCCAAATTTGCAGCTGCATTCTATCACAATGGAAGAGAAAAATACAAATACAGCTGAAGTGATATTCTGAATTGAGGTACATGAACCAGCAAACCTTCCTAGGCTAGCGTGTTCCATAGATGAGTATGTTGATCCAAATCAGGGCCGTCCCAAGCATGGAACCAGCTCCAAAATACATGTACCGTTCCCTGAAGAACTACGCTTCATCTAGCTGAATTCTGTTTTTCAATTTGATAAAACTTGCATTATTATACTGATTTAAATCACAGTCTTTCTTAAATGCCTAGATATAGCTCTAAACAGTGAAAACGCAAACACAATCAGTCTTTTCTTAGTCCTTGGTTCAACAAGTTCAACTAGAAAAGGTTTAATGGCATGAATGCACAACTCAACAATTATGAGCAATGTGCAAAGTGAATATGTGCACCGAGGAAGTAAAAACTTCAATAACTTTAAATATCTCTTTTCATAAGGCACAGCTACAGGTCTAGATAAACGAACGAATCCAGTGGATGTGAGGCCGATTTAAACATTCAAACCAACCTTTGGTCACGTTCCTGCACAGCAGTGTTGAATAAATATATTTCTCAGTTCATTTCCAAATAAAAAAACTTTGCTGTTTTGCTACCAAAAAATGTAATGATAATCTTCAATCAAATTTTCATCACAAATCGCAGCTCAGAATAGTACCGTTCAGATGTTTTTCCTCTATAAGTGGGACGCTGACAGATCCTCAGGAGAACCGGAGTGTCTTTATTGTGGATTGCTCTCGTAAGTGGAAAACATGGACTTGCGTGTTTTGGGTGGCGGCGGTGGAGGCTTGATTTCAGCTTTCGTCGGTAAAGGAGGCGTGAACTACGGGTGACAGAGGAAAAGCTTATTATTTTCTGTCTGTAAATGTTGTTTCAGCTTTCTATACCGTTTTTCTCATCAAGATTTCAGGTCAAAATACAGATGAATGCACAGAGTGTCAATTAAACCCCTTAACTGTCACCGTCCTGGAACCGGGACGCCTAACTTTACTTCACTATATTTCTATTAAATCCTAATCTAATTATGATAAATTATATATTGTTGGAAAGGTCTAAGACTTCTAAATAGACATTCTACCCCTGTTTTGTGTTAAAAATTATGTAGGAAGAGTAATTGATGAATTTATGACAAGAGTGCACCTCAAAAAATCTGCATCATAAACAGGAGTTTTGACCTTTGTCACAAAAAGTTGATGAACCCACTTTTAATCATTGAAACTTCTGTTTTTATGCTAAAAGTTCATAATAAACATATAATCTAGTATTTTTCAATAAAAAAAAAAAATTATAGTACAATATTATCCTCTAAAAATGATAATATTTATATTTATTATCCTCTAAAATATAATATTATTTTTTATCGCTATTTTTATTATATCACATATTTTAGTAGTTATCATAAATTAGGTATCATTTGAAAGCTTATAAACTCAGAATTCATCGTGTGAAAACTGTTTTATAATTGAAAGTTGCGTTACCATAGAAACGGTACTTATTTTATCAGGCTCCTCCCCTTTTGGGCATCATTATATTTCATAATTTATGATCAAAACCTTTTCTAATCTTGACAAAACTGATATTGTCAGAAAGGTCAGAGTCTCAAGGTTCCAAATTTTGTGACATAATTGATATTTGGACAGAAATGTATTAATTTGTTAAGGCAGAATGTATACAACTAAATTCAATGGAATTCAATGGCACCCGGTGGCTATTTTTGGTACTACGCCTAAACAAAATCTCATGGGAACTTCAATTTTTGTGATATCAACTTCAAATTTGGAACATAACTTGATAAGATGTATGGCTTTGATTTTATAGAAATTTTAGAGTAAAAAATATTTTATAAAATATATATTTTATATAAAATAAAAAATATATAGTACAATATATTTAATTTACTGTAAATTTAAACTTCCATAACTTTTTCATACTTTAATTTTTTGAAGTGTTTTCACTTCAGCAATATTCTGCTGAGTGTTTTCTTTAAAACAAGACCAAACTTGGGTATATATTCCAAAGCATTCTTAAATTACAACCATTTAAGTTTGAATAGTGCATTTTAACCCCATTCTCAAAAAGGGGGGTGACAGCTAAGGGGTTAATGCTTTGTTCTCACCTCAGAAGTAGAGTTATAGATGCTCTCGCTCTCGTGAGTGTGTTTCTTGGGAGGCATTGGTGGAGGGATGTTCGTGATGTCGGGTGTGCTGAAATCACTCTCGCTCGGGAGACATGTATAACCTACAGGAAGGTGATCAATATCAATGTATTAGCTTATTAATGGTGTAGCTTACACAATAGGGAGCATGAATATAAGAAAGAGGAGCGGCCCAAGTACAGAACCCTGGGGGACACCACGGGTGACAGGGGACTTTTACTCAGTACTTATTTGAGTAAGTAAGTTCTTTAGTCAATTAGTTCTGCTGATGAAAAGTGTGTTCCACCAAACTAGACCAGCACCAAACCCCTAGTCCTCGCTGGTCTTTTCAGCAGGTTGAGCGCATGATAAAGAATGTTTTCGAAAACTAAAGATGTGTATGAGGTTTATTAGTGTCAGTACAGATGTGCCATGTTCTGGATCAGTGTTTTCGATCATGATGATCTATGTATTTATAACATCATCCCTACATGCCTCTAGAAATTATCATTTGTCTAAAACTTTTGATCTCGGCATAATTCTCTTATTTAGCAATATTCATATTCCCTCTTGGAATTATTATTATTATTATAGTTTATTTAGATAGGGACAGATACAGATAACATAGATACACTTTGACAGTGATCTGATGCATGTATCAATGTGTTTAGCCAAAGCTAATTTACAACATTAGTCCCTAGAAGGGCTTTTTAAAATGCAATACATGCAATACAATACACGAGCAATACAAAACAATAAGGGCTTTTTGATAAAATGCAGTACAAGAATAAAAATACTAATAGAGAGAAAAATAATGGAATATAATATAAATGCCAAACAAAACAAAAAATTACAAAAAAGGCAGAGTCGACAAGAACTAAATATGCGAACAACACTGTTTCTGAATTAACCACAAATTGCTCCGTTTATTTTTATTATTCTTCTCCGAAATGAATCGCATTTTTGAGGGCCTAAACATGCACGAAAATTTGCACACGCGTCACAAATTTACATCTGATATGCGTTTCAGAATTGGGCGGGGTAAAATGGCTCGATAGCGCCACCTATAAAGGTTTGTTACGTTTCGCTACGTTTCACGTACGTGTATGAAATTCGGTACATAGATGTAATGGCCCAATACCTACTAAAAAGTCTCTTGGAGCGTATCCCTAAACACAACAGGAAGTCATCCATTTTTAACTTCCTCTCAGATTTTTGTGCAGTTTTTGCCATTTTCAGGCCTCATACTTTAACGAACTCCTCCTACAGTTTTAATTACATTTGTTATTTCGGTAGAAAACACATTAAATTGGTCAAAAGTCACCATTAAGATATTTACTTACAAATGATTTAAATAAATGCTAAATCTTGGTTGTTTTATTCATCAAAAAAAAATCTAATTTCTCAAGAATTCAACACAAAAATCCAAAACGATTTTCAATATTAATAATGATCAGAAATGTTTCTTGAGCAGTAAATCAGCATATTACAATAATTTTTTGAAGGATCATGTGACACTGAAGACTGGAGTAATGATGCTGAAAGTTATTTTAATTTCTAATAATATTTCACAACATTTACTGTAGTTCTGATCAAATAAATACAGCTTTGGTAAACATAAGAAACTTCTTTCAAAAACAGTTAAAAAAAATCTTACCAAGCTCTGACTGGTTTTATATTTTGAGAACCTTATTATTACTGAAGTGGCACCATGGTATAGAGATATTAGCATACAGTAATACCGTAAAGCTTTGACATGCAGTTATTATCATATTTTAGCACTGTGGTAAAGAAAAGACACAGATCAAGTAAAAAAAGCTGTGTGTGTGTGTGTGCACACTCACTCGAGCTGCGCGGTGTGTGTGGTGTGGCAGGCAGAGGGCTGAGTGGGTTGTGTAAAGTCAAATTGGATGATTCTCCATGAAACAGCGACAGCGTGAGTCTCCGGTCCCCTATCGTCAGACTTTTCGGCCTTGGCTGCTTCTCTGGAGGAATCTGTCACCACACAGACACAGCGCAACAAATGAAATCATATCTCCAAATCTGAGATTAGTCCATTTTATAAATGTCTACAACTCTACAATTTACTCCACTCAATCATTTGATTCACTATGAAATGATACAAATCAACATCAAACAGATTTTGATCATGTTAACATCGCAGTGTCATCACATATAGGGCCAGGTTTATTAAAAAGGGCAAATTAGCATGAGAGCGTGATTCCAAAAAAGCTCTGCTTGTGATCTTCTGATGTCGTGCATATTAAAGGCAGCAGGACCATTTCTACAGGCATGCTCAGAAATAATGGCATCCCTTGGTAAATATGATCAAAACTGGCTATAAAAAATAAATCTGCATCGTTTATCCTTTTGAACTTTCATTAGTAAACATTAATGGGAATATACTTAGATTTAGAGAGATATTTCACTCGTAAAATTCTAGGGGTACCAATTAGTGTTGGGTGTAACTAATTACTAAGTACTTAGTTACTGTAATTTAATTAATTTTCGCTTGAAAATGTAAAGTAAGGGATTACTCTTTATTTATCTGTAATTTAATTACAGTTACTTTTGATGTAATTGAGGTAAATACTGTGCATAGATCAATCCGATCTCACAGCGATTCGTATGCATTTTATGAGGTGTCTAAATCGTACGACCGCACCCGTACAAATTCATATTAATTATTGTAAAATAAGTACTAAAAAAGTGTGAAATGTCATGAGATCAGACATAAAACAATAGTGGGTTTAACATCAAAATGTATTGTCTGATGTTGAAAAGTATGTTTTTATAATGCAACCTTCTCCATTGTGCAATTTTATAGTATTTATTTGAAAGAATTAAAACAGATTCATGTCTATCCTTGTATTATTCAGCTGCTTGAGATTGATATGGGATTTTGAAAGTAATTAGTAATTAAAAGTAATTAAATACTTTTTAGAGAGAGTAATTAGTACAGTAATCGAATTCGTGCTCTGGAAAAAAAAACATTTCTCTGTTCATGTGATTTCCCCCCCACTTTCAATTCTTTTACTTCATTCAAAGGTTCGATTTTTTTGAATAAAATTTTAAAAGGAAATAGATTTGCAGTTTTGAAATTTTTACCAGAGCTGTTTTTTTTTTTTTTTTTACCAAGTAAAATGAGCAAAGCAATCTACAAAGAGCAGCGCAAATTAGCATCTGGTTTAAGAAGGGCTTTTTGGGGCGTTAAATAATGGCCCAAATATCAGTAAATCGCAAATAATAACGAAATACGAAAGAATAACGAAAGGAGTGCAAACTTAGTTATTTAGTTAATCACCTTTCGTTATTCATTTAAATAATCTCCTTCCATAAATTTAGCATCTGAATGTAAAACTCCCACAAATGCATATGCAATAAGGTCAGCCACAAAAATAACCCAGTCCACGCTCATTTTTTTTTTTTACTGCGTGTCTTTAGTAAACCCTGACAGTTTGGCTTTTTTGTGTTTTTTTTTTTTTTACAGCAAAAGAGGGTTTGACCTGCCACAAATGTTTAAAACTGCTCACTGACAGCCATGAACAGAAGAATGAATACAAAAGCTCCCAGCACCTGGTCTGTGTCAGCGGGTCGCTCCAGTAAGACCTGAGACTTGCTCATGCTCCATTCCTTCCTGTTCTTCTTACTTATCCGATTATCTTCCTCTGAGCGGGACAGAACCGAAACCCTGCTGTCGCTCACGCGGGAGAGCAGCGAACTGAGAGAAAGAGAGACAATCAGATATTTGTGCACTTTTACAAATCCTCTGAGCATGTTGCCATGTATTATGCATTTGTGCGACAGCATTCTGCTTATGCATTAGTTTAGAAATCTCAGGTCTAGAAACACATTTGACGACAAGAACGACACTCGTGGGTTGGGCGGCGCAGACAAAGAAGCCTTCACAAGTAAAAACAATGTATCCTGGGAGATTCTTTAGAGATCTTTGACATTTTCTCCCAGCCGCCTGTCTTGGTAATTGCTACTTATATGATATACGCACTTCATTGACATTTCAATAAAAGCACATCTGCTAAAAACAGACACATGAATGTTAACATAAGATGCATATGTATACATATAAATGGATACTATATTAACGGAAGTTAAGTAAACTAAAGATGTTCAAACATAACATAACAGAGTATAACTGCTTCTGACTAACATGGAAAAGTCATAAAACAACAGTACTAACGTTATAAAACATTCAATCATGAAGTTAACACACGCAGGCGGAAACATTAAGAGTTTCCAAACTCTTCTCAACTCTTCACTTTTATGATATGAACAAGTTCATTTGAATAGATAAAGTTCTAAAACTGCTTATGAAACACTTTGAGCAACACATTTTAACACTAATCTGTCACTATGTACTTCATTTTGAATTTACGAACTACAATGTTGATTAATTCCATGTCATAGCCAATAACCAATAAAATGACTGATATTAAGTGAATATTATGGAGCCCAGTACTATATTGTAGCCACAAATTAAGAATTCAGTCCCTTGGTTTATTAATTTCTTTCCTCGTTTTACTAAATTATGGCCAAGTTGTATGTATATCTCTATATGAAGAGTTCAGATGCAAAAGCCTCTAAGTGCCATTTGAAATTTTCTTCTATAATGATCATTTTTATCAAGCTTGTATATTTAAGTTCAGTAATTTCACTTAAATGGCAATGAAGATTACCTATTAATTGTCATTTAAGTGAAATTACTGAACTTAAATATACAAGCTTGATAAAAATGATCATTTTAGAAGAAAATTTCAAATGGCACTTAGAGGCTTTTGCATCTGAACTCTTCATATATATATATATATATATTTGTCCGCATGTCATGTGCTCCATAGAATACTATTTTCCCACATACATTAAAATACAACAACAAAAAATGTATACAATAGTTTTAAATGCTGCAAGGGAATTAAGCCAAAGCAACATAATAAAGTATGAATAATGGATATTGACTTCGAGATATGCTAAGATTACACTGCTAAACTGTTTTAAAGAGTTAACTTTATGTGATCATCATCTAAATGTAAAAACAGGAGAAATGAACATGCAATTAAATATCTAATCAGACAATATATCCAATATCAACCAATAAAAATAAAATGTTTCAGTTAACACAACTTTTCATACAATATCTAAGTAATGCAACAAAAAAAAAAAACTTGGCAAAGAAATATCTAGGATAGGAAACGCATGTTAATGTTGGGTGTAAAGACAAACTACTGTATGTAATACAGTCTATAATTGATGTGAAGCAATGACCTAAACTGAATTCTAAAGATCAGACTCAGAGTGAAGGAAAATGGCCATTAAAACTCAATTATTGACTGTTTTGGCACAAAAAAACTTGACTAGCATTATAAGTGGACCTCAGGGAAAATAAGAATTAATGCAAATTATTTACCAAGAACATTTTCTAAATAACCCAGCACATGCTCGGATGACATCAAACGATGCATAAAGTGACAGGGAAAGAAAAACGGAAACTGCACTTTTCATGTTCTTTCTGACTGAGCATCATTCATCCGCAATAATGATTTTCCAGAAAGAAAACATTTACAGGCAAGTGTGAAGACCAGCTAGGAATGACTAATTTCGAATAATTTCTTCTGCAAATTCTTGAGGGAAAACAAGCAGGTTGTCATTTACTCTGATAAGATAGATTTGGCTAGATTTTTTTAAAAATCGAAATTATTGGGGAGTTTATGGTAATTAAGGACGTGTTTAACGAGAACCCACTTAACCAGCACATGATAGAACCAATTAAACATGCAGGTTAATGTCATGTTTTCCACTAGCAGAGACATAATTACAGGGGAAACTGAATCATTATATGACCACGGGAACTCTGTCCAGTGGTAAATTAGCCCTCGGTGCGCTGCTGATTATTTCTATGAGCGAGAGAATACTGACTCCTGGGATGCAGGCCTGGAGGAGTGTCCGTCTGAAGAGCCTGAGCCGCTGGAGTGTCCCGAGGAGGCGTTTGAGATGGTGGACATCCGTCTGAGCGTGGAGGACATGATGTATGGCATCACCATCGACCCCACGCGACTCTTTTTCTTTTCGGTCAGAGAGCAGGGCTGGAGATACAGATACAAACACAAACATGCTTCCATTTATATCATCACTTGAATCTCACTGACATCTATAGTAATTCAATTAAATGCCACTCTTAACTTTTAGCATTTATACCGTAAATTGCACTATTGACTTTAGCACTATTTAGTCTCCTCATTTAAATTGATGTAATTTCTTCCCACCCAGTAAGATTTATATACTGTACACTCACCTAAAGGATTATTAGAAACACCATACTAATACTGTGTTTGACCCCCTTTCACCTTCAGAACTGCCGTGGCATTGATTCAACAAGGTGCTGAAAGAATTGTTCAGAAATATTGTCCCATATTGATCTGTTTACGCCAAATTCTGACTCTACCATCTGATCGTCTCAACAGAAATCGAGACTCATCAGAGCAGGCGACATTTTTCCAGTCTTCAAGTGTCCAATTTTGGTGAGCTCTTGCAAATTGTCGCCTCTTTTTCCTAATTATAGTGGAGATGAGTGGTACCCGGTGGGGTCTTCTGCTGTTGTAGCCCATCCGCCTCAAGGTTGTGTGGTTTGTGGCTTCACAAATGCTTTGCTGCATACCTCGGTTGTAACGAGTGGTTATTTCAGTCAAAGTTGCTCTTCTATCAGCTTGAATCAGTCGGCCCATTCTCCTCTGACCTCTCGCATCAACAAGGCATTTTCGCCCACAGGACTGCCGCATATCGGATGTTTTTCCCTTTTCAAACCATTCTTTGTAAACCCTAGAAATGGTTGTGTGTGAAAATCCCAGTAACTGAGCAGATTGTGAAACACTCAGACACCAACAACCATGCCACGCTCAAAATCGCTTAAATCACCTTTCTTTCCCATTCTGACATTCAGTTTGGAGTTCAGGAGAGTGTCTTGACCAGGAACACACCCCTAAATGCACTGAAGCAACTGCCATGTGATTGGTTGGTTAGATAATTGCATTAATGAGAATTTGAACAGGTGTTCCTAATAATCATTCAGCTGAGTGTATATGAAGAGTTCAGATGCAAAAGCCTCCAAATGCCATTTGAAATCTTCTTCTTTAATGATGATTTTTATTAAACTTGTATATTTTATTTCATTAATTTCACTTAAATAACAATTAATAGGTAATTATCATTGCCATTTAAGTGAAATTACTGAACTTAAATATACAAGTTTGATAAAAATCATCATTAAAGAAGAAAATTTCAAATGGCATTTAGAGGCTTTTGCATCTGAACTCTTCATATAATAATACTTATTATAAATGAAAAAATAAGAAATGTATATAATAATAAATTGCAAATAATACTTTTATTCAGCAAGGACGTATTAAGTTGATCAAAAGTGACGGTAAAGGCATTTATAATGTTACAAATGTTTCTATTTGAAATAAATACTGTTCTTTTGAACTTTTCTTAATCATTAAAGAAAAAAAATAATTAAAATAAAAGTAATTGTTGGACAATTTCCTGTATGAATCGATTGAGTCGTGTTTGTCAGACTTACTAGAGTAATGACGCCATAGAGTTTCTCCACTTTGGCACGCAGGTCCTGGAAGCAGGAGACGATTCTGTTGTGAAGGGGTTTGAGCTGCTCCGTGGATTTCTCTCCGTGGATCCGAATTCCCTCATCAAGCAAAGGGACCTGAGATGGAATAGACAACATTAAACATTTGACAATGAATGGATCGCTTTGATGCTTTTTCACTACCTGATATTAATATGACAAAACATACAGTGCAACAGCAAATGCTTTCAAAGCTAATTGAAATTTAGATTTTTCATTTTAAATGAGATTACTTTCATCAAGTAATTTAATCCATTTAATTATCAAAAGATATTTGATTATCTAAAAACAGGCAATTCCATGTGGTTATATAAATATACACTAGCATTCAAAGGTTTGAGGTCAATATGATTTTTTTTCAACAGGGATGCATTCAATTGATCAAAAGTGACTGTAAAAATATTTACAATGTTACCAATGATTTCTATTTCAAATAAATGCTGTTCTTTTGAACTTTCTAACAATCAAAGCATCACAGTTTTCACATTAATATTAAGCAGCACTAATGCTTTACTGTATTTTTGATCAAATAAATGCAGCCTTGGTGAGAATAATATTTTTTTTTTTTCAAAAACATGAAACATTCTTAACAGCCCCAAACATTTGAACGATAATGTAAATGCATTTAGATGATATAATTTATATATATATATATATATATATACACAGTTATGGTCATAATTATTTGTAAATATGAGCAAAGACGGCTCTAAAAATAAAGATTTGAACATTTTTTTAAATAAATACTTCCCTCCAAAACATCATCAGGCCAATAATTATTTGACTTCAATGAAAGGTTATCAGATTTATTTTTCAGCCATCTGTGATCATATTTACCAGGGGTGCAAATAATTCTAAATACATAGTTAACATGGTATATGGTCATATCTCCCACTTCTATGTGAATAATCGGAGCTTTGTGTGAATTGTTGAACACAACACAGATCTGCAGAAGAGTCACCTGCAATGCAATCAGGTGTTTTAAGACTTCAATGCGCTCCAGGTGGTCGGGGTTCTTCTTCATGTAGGCGTCTGTGAAAAACGCCTGCGGGGTGAAACAAAAATTTCAATCAGTATCAGCCGGTGCTCCAGCAGACCTAACGCCTCGAGAGACATCAATTTTTCATATCTGACCAGGACTAAAGGTACAGAGCAACTCTTGAGCACATCTGAATGATTTAGCTGAGTGTTATCAGGATTCGGGCTTGATTTCTTTTGGTTAAAAATTAATAGAATCAGAAATACAAAAAAGGTGTTCACATCCCAAACATTTACTGGGCTCAGGTGCAGGAGACAAAAAACAACAATCAAAGAAGTAAGAAGAGTAATGTCCGCAGACTGACCTTACAGCTCTGAAGTTAAAGGCAGGGTAGGTGATTTGTTCCAGAAACATTTAGGCTGTGTGTCCACCAAAACGTGCTAGACGATATGCTGAAAACAGCGAGCTTTGGGCACTTGGCAACGCAGCATTTTTTTCCGTTATTTTTCATTATTTTAAATATATTTTTCATCCGTGTTGTTCGGTTAGCTCTGCTGGTTGATGTCGTTGTTCAGAAAGAATGTTGTGACAGTTGGTTGGTGTGGTTTAGTCCCGCCCCTCCTCCACTGTGATTGGACAGCTGGGTAAAAAGCGACAGTGATGAGCGCTGCGTTTTATCCAAAGCTGAACGTTTTTGAACTCCCGGCGTTTAGTAAAACACGGCGTGCGCTCAGCGCTTCAGTGTGAAAAAAAAAACGCTCAGCACCTCGTTACGCTCATGGCGTTTAAAAAACGCGGCGCTCCCATTGAAAACAATTGGCGCGTGGAAAAATGCTTTGGTGGACACACGGCCTTATTGTTGAAAGTCTCTTCACATCCTGATAGCAAGTGGTCTAAATGTACATTTCAAACCAAACTGACGCTCATGTTGCTAGCCTCTCTGAAAATTGCCTACCCTTCCTTTGATAGAAGTAGCATAAGTGGTTTAGTGGTTCATGTAGGTTGTCTACAAACCAGAAGGTTTGTGGTTCAATCCCCGTGTCGAGGTGTCCATGAGCAAGACACCTGAAAGCGCAATATAAATGCAGTCCATTTACCATTAGGGGAGAAAGACTGACCTTCTCATAGTTGGAAAAGCCGCCCATGACAGCCGGGTCCACGATTCCATTGAGCATCATGGAGAGCGGGTGCACAGGAAGAGAGCGGTCACACGCCTGCTGCTGTACCAGATTACTCAGCTTCTCATTGGCCAGCTCCATGGTTTCTATGGCGTTGTCCAAAGGGCTGATCTCTTCCTACAAACGAGGGACAATATGAGACGGGCGGATCATACACTACAATTTTTTAAAAGAAATTAATACTTTTATTCAGCAGGGATGGATTAAATCGACCAAAAGTGATAGTAAAGACATTTATAATGTTATATATAATGTTATAATTAAAGGAGTAGTTCACTTTTGAAAAAAAAAAAAAATTTGCTGATAATTTACTCACCCCCATGTCATCCAAGATGTCCATGTCTTTCTTTCTTCATTCGAAAAGAAATTAAGGTTTTTGATGAAAACATTCCAGGATTTTTTTCCATATAATGGACTTCAATGGGAACCAAACGGTTCAAGGTCCAAATGAGAGTTTCAGTGCAGCTTCAAAGGGCTTTAAACAATTCCAGATGATTAATAAAGGGTCTTATCTAGGACCTTCGAGTCATAACTCGAAAAAAGATTTGTTCACTTTGATGAACGAGTTTGAACAGGAGAGTCCCGAACGCACATCACAGAAGAGAGCAAGGCGAGCGTTTGTGCTTATAAAACTTAAACTTTTTAATTTATTTTTTAAATGAGTGATCGTTTCGCTTGATAAGACCCTTATTCATCGTCTGGTGTCGTTTAAAGCCCTTTGAAGCTGCACTGAAACTCTCATTTGGACCTTGAACCGTTTGGTCCCCAATGAAGTCCATTATATGGAGAAAATCCTGGAACGTTTTCATCAAAAACCTTCATTTCTTTTCGACTGACGAAAGAAAGACATGGATATCTTGGATGACATGGGGGTGAGTAAATTATCAGCAAAAGTTTTTTTTAAAGTGAACTATTCCTTTAAGTTTAAAAGTAGTTAATCAGTAGAATAAGTTGACGTACTTCCAAAGATACTTATAGTTAATAGAATGTCTAAAGTGGACTAATAAAATAAAGTGTTAATCTCTCTAAATATTCTATAGAAAATATAGGAAATGAATAAATGCAGCCTTGCAGAGTAAAAGACCCCAAACTTTTGAGAATAACATAAAATGGCATATCTTGAAACCTGAATATCACAAAGGCTTGTAGGAGGGCTATTTTAATCTATGCCAGTAAGCAATATCCTAGCAACAGTACAGCAACACACGAGCATCACATACATTTTGTCAAGTAAAAAATCGAATCGGTTAATAATATTAATAATTAATATTACATCAGAAGAAACATTATTTCAGAAAAAGTCACAACTTGATGAAACACTATGCAAACAATAACATGCACTGATTAACACAATTAAAGGGCATTTGATAAAAAGGTGAATAGGTCCATGAATTTTGATGTCATGTTGTCAAGTATTCAGACAGCACGTTTGACATTTAACAATAAAAGTCAGTTTTAGAGTATTTCGAGAAGGACGAGTTACTCACCACAGACATGGATTTCACTTCAAACCACTTGAGGATTCCTGGAAAGCGGTATGCAGTAATAAAAGTGGTCCTTTCGATCCACATGGTCTGTGAAGTCAAGGTAGAGAGGCACATTTACACATTAACAAGTTCTGAAGGTAATCATCCCTATTTATGAATAATTATATAGAACTGAATTACAGGTTCTTGTACCACCTAGAAACTAGTGTAATGGTCCACAGAATCACAACATAAAGGTGATTCTTCACCTGTTAGTGAGTGGCAACTTTCTTTTAAAAGTTGAATTAGGCATCTAAATCGTTATTGACAATAACGTTGACAATCTGAACATTTTTAAAGAGGAGCTATTTAGTCTTGATTTGTTTGTTTTTTTGGCAGGTTTTATGCCTTAACCACAGAAAAGTCTGTCAGTAGTAACTCTATGAAGCCCCTCCTTCCAAAAAGCAAAGTGTGCTCTGATTGGTCGGCTGGACCAGTGTGTTGTGATTGGTCTGTCAGTTTCAACACACTTTCTAATGCAACTCAACCAGGTTTCGCGCCTTTTTTTGTGTGTACGCCTTGGATGGGAATTATTTAAATGAAGAATACTGTGACGTGTTCGTTCCCGGAAGAAAACTCAAGACTACAATGGAAGCGTTTCAGGGAGTTCAGAAGCAGTGACACTGATAATGAGATTAACTCACTTTTTATGCTCAAACAGCAACATCACATACTAAACAAAGTTAAAAATGTAAAAAAATAATAATAGGAGCCGCTTTTAAAGGGATTCTATGCAGTTTTTTTAGCTTAACACAACAGCTTCAGAGTTATTGAAATGTTTGTATTTTCAATGTTTGCAACTTACCGCAAACTCATTATCAGGATCTTTTTCTCCTTTCCTAAACGGTCTTGAATACTGGAACTTGTCCACCTCGTTCGTCCTGTAGTAACTGGGAAAACAACAGAAGGGAAATAAGATCTATAACAGCATGATTTACAATAGATTTGAATTGTGACGAGGGTGTTGATTCATACTTGAGGATTTGTTCAGGAACTCCCTTGTCCTTGAACTGTGAAGGTAAAGTTAGGACAGGCTTCACTGTAAAACACTGAATATCTGCAGGGAATTAATTAAGGGAAGAAAACTGTTCACATTCACTTAATTTGGTCCAAAAAAGCATTACACTACCGTTCAAAAGTCTGGGGTTGGTAAAAAAATAAATAAATAAATATATATATATATATATATATTTCTTTGGAAAAACTCTCTTACCAAGGCTGTAATACAGTAATACAGTATTACAGTAAAACTGTAATATTGTGAAATGTTATTACATATAAAACAATTGTTTTCTATTTAAATATATCGTAAAGTGTGATGTATTCATGTGAATTTTCAGCATTTTCATTTACTGTCACCTTTGATCAATTTAATGTATCCTTGCTGAATGTAAGTATTTTATTCTTTTATTCTACAGACCAGAAACCTTTAAAATGTTACTATATTTCATTTAACAGTACATTTATTTATAGGGCTGTGCAAAGATTAACTGCGATTAATCGCATCCAAAATAAAAGTTTGTGTTCTGTTTACACAATATATGTGTGTGTGCTGTGTATAATTATTTTGTGTATATAAATACCCACACATGCATGTATATATTTAAGAAAATATTTATATTTTTATATAATATACATTTTATATATACTGTATGTATATATATATATATACTGTATATATATATATATATATATAGTATTTATGTGCAAATAATTCTTAAATATATACATGCATGCATATGTATTTATACAAAATAATTATACACAGCACACACATATATTTTGTAAACACAAACTTTTATTTTGGATGTGATTAAAATGAATTAATCTTGCATAAAATGCATAGCCCCAATTTTTTAAAACATAAAACAAACAAACCCATAAATCTAAAAATTCCACAGAGTTTAGCCAACAAAAAAGCCTTTAAAAAGCTTTAACATCAGTATTATACTTGCTGGGTTAAAAGTCAAGGATACGTTGACCGGGTGAGTTAGTGATGTTGTCACCAGGGGGCGATGTGCTGGTTATCTTCACTGCATTGGGAAACTGAGACATCAGCTTGAGGTTAAAGTCTTCCAGCCACTCATACTCTTTACCGCGATAGATGAACATTTTGTTCTGTTTTGAAACGGGGACAGTAAAAATTTTAGTTGAAGACTGTAAGCCACTGCTATTAACGTACTGGCAACAAAGTTCTTTCTTTGTTTAAGTGATTTCAGTAGCACCTCATTGCAGTACATGAGATCCAGGGGGTGGTGTTGGATCCAGATCTAAGATCCAACTCCTACCACCTTATATGGGTAGATGGGTAGGTTTAGGGATCAGGGGTGGAGATGGGTAGGTTTAGGGGTGGGATTAGGGATCAGGGGTGGAGATGGGTAGGTTTAGGGGTGGGATTAGGGATCAGGGGTGGAGATGGGTAGGTTTAGGGATCAGGGGTGGAGATGGGTAGGTTAAGGGGTGGGATTAGGGATCAGGGGTGGAGATGGGTAGGTTTAGGGGTGGGATTAGGGTTCAAGGGTGGAGATGAGTAGGTTTAGGGATCAGGGGTGGAGATGGGTAGGTTAAGGGGTGGGATTAGGGATCAGGGGTGGAGATGGGTAGGTTTAGGGGTGGGATTAGGGTTCAAGGGTGGAGATGGGTAGGTTTAGGGATCAGGGGTGGAGATGGGTAGGTTTAGGGGTGGGATTAGGGATCAGGGGTGGAGATGGGTAGGTTTAGGGGTGGGATTAGGGTTCAGGGGTGGAGATGGGTAGGTTTAGGGATCAGGGGATGGAGATGGGTAGGTTTAGGGGTGGGATTAGGGATCAGGGGTGGAGATGGGTAGGTTTAGGGATCAGGGGATGGAGATGGGTAGGTTTAGGGGTGGGATTAGGGATCAGGGGATGGAGATGGGTAGGTTTAGGGGTGGGATTGGGGATCAGGGGTGGAGATGGGTAGGTTTAGGGATCAGGGGTGGAGATGGGTAGGTTAAGGGGTGGGATTAGGGATCAGGGGTGGAGATGGGTAGGTTTAGGGGTGGGATTAGGGTTCAAGGGTGGAGATGAGTAGGTTTAGGGATCAGGGGTGGAGATGGGTAGGTTAAGGGGTGGGATTAGGGATCAGGGGTGGAGATGGGTAGGTTTAGGGGTGGGATTAGGGTTCAAGGGTGGAGATGGGTAGGTTTAGGGATCAGGGGTGGAGATGGGTAGGTTTAGGGGTGGGATTAGGGATCAGGGGTGGAGATGGGTAGGTTTAGGGGTGGGATTAGGGTTCAGGGGTGGAGATGGGTAGGTTTAGGGGTGGGGTTAGGGACCAGGGGTGGAGATGGGTAGGTTTAGGGATCAGGGGATGGAGATGGGTAGGTTTAGGGGTGGGATTAGGGATCAGGGGTGGAGATAGGTAGGTTTAGGATCTGGATCTAACTTCTCCCTTGGATTTCGTGTTCTGCAGTGAGTACCTTCTAAGTCAGGGGTTCTCAAACTCGGTCCTGGAGGGCCGCTGTCCTGCAGAGTTTAGCTCCAACCCTGATCAAAAACACCTGATCAAGCTAATTAAGGTCTTCAGGATCACTAGAAACTCACAGGTAGGTGTGTTTGATCAGGGTTGGAGCTAAACTCTGCAGGAGAGTGGCCCTCCAGGACCGAGTTTGAGAACCCCTGTTCTAAGTGATTTTCATGGCTTGATATCTGTCATATCAGAACCAATAATAACTGCAAAAAGCCTATCATTTCATTAGATATCTAAGGGGCTCTAGTATCTGTAAAAGAAAAGCACCAGGGTTTCCAAACCCCTGACTGTGAAAACAAAAGTATTATTTTCTTGTTCAAACCCCATTACTCTGAGAACTCTTTGGGGAGAGCTGCAATCAGGATATCTGTTTCCTTTGGCTATGTTTGATGCCGAAATGTCAGCATGTTTGTGTCACTGTTTAATCCATACTTCACACCGCAAAAACAACAGAAAATTAGACATTTGCGGACCTAATTCTCCAAGTTGTCATTTGAATATCAAATCCCATTTCAAATCCAGCAAAACTGGACTAAAGCAGCCAAATTCACTCACCCTGAGGAAGGAGGGGAAACCTTGACCGTAGTATCCCACGGCGAAATATTCGGGCTGAGGTCTCATAGCGTGCATGATGTTCTCATAATACTGTGCCTGCTGTTTCTGTGTACAAAACAACTGGTGTTCTTACATTTGGAATTAGCAATTAAGGCATTTAAAAGTCAAGCTTAAAAGGAATAGTTCATCTGAAAACGAAAGCACCGTCATCATTTGCTCATCCTCAAATCTTTATTCATTTATTTTTCTTCCTTGGGACATAAACGGAGAATTTGATGTGTGTTCACGCTGCTCTTGTTCATACAACGAACGTGAAAGAGGTCATAATGCTTGTGAACTATATTGCAATTCTTGTGAAGTCATATGACAGCTGTGGGTGAGGGAAATTTTAATATTGCACATATTCATCAATTTTTGACCGGTTCCAAAAAACTGTTGCGTAACTAGTTTGACCTCTATTGCACGTAATCCTGCTAATACAAAGGCTTCAGTCAAATTCAATTACAGTTATCTGCCCCATAATACCCTTGATCAAAGCACTTAACCCCTAGTTCTTCCAATACTTGGAAAGACGAACGATTATGATCCTTTTAGAAGCTTATTTTAAGAGGTTAATAATAATCAAGGTCGTAGTAATCATTAAAAAAAATCTAATTGTTGTACTTGTTCCTACAGCTCTCTGATAAAAATGCTTTTGATACCGTAACGATACCGTAATTATGCCAGTTTAAGTGGCAGCAATCTAACATGGAAGAATTGCCAATACTGCCAATAATTTTGATTGTAATAACTCTGTAAAATAATTTCACCCATTTTCTAGGTCGTAGGAGAGCCTGTAATTCATGTTCATATATATTCATTCATACATGGAGATGATTAATGTTCAGATTCAGATCTTGGAAACCCCTCTGTGTAAATGTGGCCTCAAAGACCATGTGGCTCTTTTATAGTTAAATATGGGATTGAAATTGTGTTTCCCTTCACTGTTTTTCCTCCCACCTCATTTCCGTCACAAAAGTTTTGCAGGCAAACGCAAAGATTGTTGGGTGAACACAAAAGTTTCGTGAGAGAACGCAAAGGCACTGAAATATAATTTTTCTGACCATCTTAGTTTTCATGTGCATATAACATGCAAGCCATATGTACTGCACAGTGTTGTTATTGTTAGCTAAAAGGTAAAATTAATAATCTTTTTAATAATTGAAATCAAGCTGATATTAAAAAAAGAAAATATTTAAGTTTAATTATTAAAATGACTAAATCTAAAATTAAAAAAGCGAAAGAGAAAGCGAAATTGTAAAAAAAAAAAAAAAAAACTAATAAAAAATGAGAAAAGCACAAAATTACCAGAACTTAATCTACAAATAAAAGTGTAAATATAAAAATAAAAGCTAATTAAAAGCATTAATAAACATTACACTAGTGCATAAATAATACTAAATAATATTTTTACCACAAATATGATGGTTTTATGCCATTTTTTTGCCAGTTTGACAGCACTTAAAACGTATGGGAACATTTTGCAGCATGAACATTCAGCTAAATATCTCATTTTGCACTCCGGCGATGAAGAAAAAATAAAATTGGGTGCGGAATAACATGAGGATAAGTAAATGCCCGACAAGTGGATCATTGTAATGTGTGATTACAACCCTTTCACACACAGGCAATTAAAAAAGGGTTCATTTTAGAAGAAAAGTTACATATAGCACCTTTAACGAATGTATGGCATATTTTATTCTCCACAGGACAGAAAAGTTAACTTAAAACAGTTGTGCACCCAAGCACAAACTGATCAAATTGAAGTCGGCTCCAAGTGAGAAGTTGACAAAGCCGAAGGCAGAACTGAGAGGAGAGTATATGTAACTGCTACAGTAGCCGTTATCGCACTAGTTTCCTTCCTCCTCTTGCTTGCTGATTGTCAAGCTTATTTCCTGTGCTGAGCGACGGCTGCTACCCAGCAGACAGCGTGATGGATTACCAACTCAGAACGTGAATCAATAAGAAGTGCCTGAATCAAAACGAGCTTAAGCTTTAGCCTTTGTCTCGTTAAACAGTTTGTACATCACAGAGCATCTCCAGTTCTGGCAGAAGCTCGGGGAGGTTTGTCTGCGCCGTTACCTTCAGATCACATTAACAAAAAAACAAGAGGGAATTCTGTCATGTCTGTCTTACCAGCAGTTGACTGAGCTCTATGAAATCAAACATTTGGTTTTCGTGAAGTTTAACAAGCTGTTTGGCCATCTCGATGGCCTTCTCCCACATCTGTGGACAAAGAACAAACAAACAATAAATGAGAACGTGTGTTGATGGCGTTTATTCTTCTTTAAGGAACAGCTTTTCAATAATCACACATCTGTTATCATTCAGTCTCCTTTAGAGTGTTCCAAATAAATGACTCGATAAAAAACACATGTTGTCTGTCTGTCTATCTATCAGTCTATCTGTCTGTCTATTTAACTATCTAGTTGTCTGTCTATCTATCTATCTATCTATCTATCTATCTATCTATCTTCAAAATGTGTCCTATTGTGCTCTACAAAAGAAAGGAAGTAATACAGGTATGAGAAACACAAAAAACACAAAAATGTTTTCTTTGGGGATGAAATATATCTTTAAATGCAAAGCCATTGAAAAGTTTAGGGCTAGTAAAAGTTTTTTATTTGCTGTTTTTAATTCTTTTATTCAATGAGGATGGATTGAGACATCAACGGAGACAGTAAAGACGTTTATAATGTTACAAAAGATTTCTATTTCAAATAAATGCTCTTCTTTTGAACTTTCTATTCATCAAAAAATCTTAAAAAAAAATGTATCATGGTCTCCACAAAAACGTGAAGCAGTTTTCAACATTGATAATAATAAGAAATGTTTTTTGAGCAGCAAATAATCATATTAGACTGATTTCTGAAGGATTATGCGATGCTGAAGACTGGAGTAATGAAGCTGAAAACTACATTTTAAAAAAATTCTTAAAATGTTAATTTTAAAAAAAATTTAAAATTTTTTTAAAAAATTTAAAAAAAATTCTTAAAATGCTCTTTTCATTTCTTTACAGCTGTACTTCCCTAAAAATGGTGTGAATGGCATGTACTGTAAAAGTCATTAAATGAAAGCATTTTCATTAGATTTAGATGTGCATACTTTGCCTTTGTCCAGATTGCACATGATTTCCTGAAAAAGTCTTTCCTTCAGCTCTTGTTGTGTCCAGCCCTGAGCTCCGTCCCGTGGGATCAGGTGGGGCGCGCACGGCTTGTCGGACCACTACAAAGAGATTACACAGTTCAGGCATGCCAATCACACTGATCTGCTAATCACAAAACTACGTTGCAAGTTTAACCAGCACATTGTACTGAGAGCAGACATTAAAATGCAAACCAGACTAATTTAAGCAGAAGACTATGATTTTGGGGAGTGACAGGCTAAATGTTTGTTTTTATAAAGATTTGGAAGATAACAACTGACTTTCATGGATCATGTGATCTATGAAATCATGTGATCCATTTTTCAAAGCAAAGATCATGACATTTCCAAATCGACAGGCATCCTTGTCATTGAAAAGAAACTATTTCTCAAAAAATTGCGCAAATTGTGAATTGTGTCATTCCAAACCCTTTAACCCTTTGTTCATCTTCAGAACACACACTGCGTTTCATTACCCTTCAAATTGCGCAAATTGAAATTGCGAATTAAAAATAATAGAAACAATTTTTGGGGCATTTACAGGTCACCAGGCAAATGTAAAAGTCACAAAAACATTCTTTTAAAAAGGTACGGTGTGTTTGGACAAAGCTATTCATTAAACTTTTTATGGGAATACTGGATTCTAAAAAAGAAATGCCACAATTTATCACCACGAGTGCAGACGTTAGTGCATGAACGCGCATTGAACGCAATTCTGTTTGAGCAAAACAAAGTCCTCCCGACACTTCACAACATCGGGGTTTAAACCACTGGAGTCACACTTTAATCACGTCTTTACTACCTTTCTTAAAGTGCTAGTTGTCAATAGAGGGACAGAAAGCTCTCAGATTTCATTACATGCATACTCATACTCATGACCTTGAGACATTTTTGATATAAAGGCTTATGCTTAAATGATTGCAATTACTGTAAAAGACAAATATGAATTACGAATACTTATACATTTTTCTATAAATGTAGCAATTCAATTAAAAACACTTTTTATTAATAATTCAACTGAAAAGCAGCTTAAAGAATGTATGTTTGCAAAAAGCTAAAAAATAAGATTTCATTTAGTTAATTAGTTTTCAAATTATTTGTTTTAATTTGCGTTTATTTAAATTAAATTAAATAAATAAATTAAATATTTTAAATTAAATTTAAATTGTAAATTATTGCTGCGTTTAAACTTTTGAAAGTAATATATAAATATACATACTTGTAATAATAATAATAATTCATTACATTTGTATAGCGCTTATCTTGGTACTCAAACCGCTTCACATATGGAAGGGGGGATCTTCTAACATTCATTTAAGCAAAATCGGCTAAATTACTTATTTTACAGATATTGATATCACATTTTTCTGTTTTTATACTATAGTATTTGTACATTTTGTCATCTTTCCATGAATTGCAATCATTTAGAAATAGAAAAGCATCTTTATGTTCAGGGGGTGCACTCATTTATGAGATGTGCATTGATGTCCGTATTTAACCATAACCGTGACCAGCACAAAGCAAATCATTTTTCGTCCAAACCTCCAACAGTTCAGCATGCAGCAGCAGGGTGTAGGCAGCCTCGGTGTAATTCTCACAGGCCAGATGTAGATCACGTAACTTGTACAAATATCTAATGAAAGACCACAAAACATTCAGATTCACGTGTGGGTCAACAAGCCAAACAAACGTTCAATTCATCTGGCACACTTACCGGATATAAATATCCTCCCTTTTCTTTTCTTTGTAAAAGTTCTGTGGGCATGAGAGAGAAGATAAATGTCATTTTTATGAAAGTCTTCAAACATATTTTTTCCTGATTAGATGAATTTAACTACATTTTTAGAAAAAAGGTTTTATTAGGGTCTTATATTAGAAAAAAAAACGCTTTATGCAAAAAAGGTTCTGTTAGGGAAAGGTCTTTACTGTTTGCAAAATACTTTGTTTAACAGGTTATTTTTTCTAGTAATTAAGTATGTTTAATTCATAAAAAAAATAAAACAGTTATTAATTAATAGTAAATCCATAAAATGACCCTGTTGGGACCCCTAAAGAGGTTCTATCAATGAAGCGCCTGACAGAACCATTTGTGTTTCAATATATACAACCTTTGGTAACACTATTTAAAAGTGACGTGATTACACATTACTACATAGTAACTATAATAAATGTTTATTTTATATAGCGCCTTTCTCAAACCCAAGGCCGCTTTACATAGTGGGAATCAAGTATACACAACAGCAACAACCAAAACAATACATCAAAGACAAGTTATCTGTATGAATCTATAAGTTTGGTGTGGAGAAATGATCATTAAACAAAAAGGTCTTGAAAGGTCATACCATCTGCATTAGTGATGGGATTTATGGCTCTTTGAGGGGATCCGGATCTTGGCGATCCGTTCCTTTCAAAGAGCCGTTCAAAAGAATGGCTCTTTTGGCTCTTTTTAAATATTTAGTATAATCACTGGGAGGAATGATGAGGTGAGATTTGTAGTCAAATAATTCAAACTCAGATATCACACATCAATATCTGAGTTTGAATTATTCTGAAATATTGATTATTACCTCATTTGTCATGTGTGGGCTATATTTCAAAGGGTTGCACAACATCCCTCTGCTTAGAACGTGACATCACTATTTTGGATTTACCTTTAGTACAAAGTGAGTGTATGTGTAAAGCTGTTGACTTATGTTTTCCATACAATACCACAAGAACATTTTGATAAAAAACAAAAAATATTTAAAGTTGTAAATATATACTGTAGATACAATAACATTAACATGAACACAAAATGCAATGTAAATAAATACAAGCAGTTCCTTACTTTATGGCTTTAAAAAAAAAAAAAAAACTGGAGTAACCATGTGATGGCGGCGTGCACAACTTTTGGCTCCGCTCCTACGTGACATAGGCACGTAGGGTTATAAAAGATAACGTAAAAGATGCACGCGCGTGCACAACTATCACCCCTGCGCTGGGCACCCCTTCCCCTGTAACTGAGGAGGTAATTTATGTGCATCTGTGTAAAACACGCATAGGAAAAAAAGAACGACAGAAAGAACGGCTCCCCTCCTGCCGCGACTCGGCTCCCATCGTTCATGTTTATGAGCCGTTCAAAAGAATCGGTTCGTTCGCGAACGTCACAACTCTAATCTGCATAACAATGGAATTTAAGACCGTGGCTGTGTATAATCTGGCCAATAGGGAGGATGTATATGAGAAAGAAGAGGGGCCCAAGTACAGAACCCTGGGGGACACCACAGGTAACAAGGGACTTGGAAGACTGATGTATAGTATGTATAGTAAGGGTAATTAATATTACTCAGTACTTATTTGAGTAAGTAAGTTCTTTAGTCAATTAATTCTGCTGATGAAAAGTGTGTTCCACCAAACTAGACCAGCACCAAACCCCTAGTCCTCGCTGGCCTTTTCAGCAGGTTGAGCGCATGATAAAGAATGTTTTCGAAAACTAAAGATGTGTTTGAGTTCAAGCGGTCCGGTTCTCACCAGGACGTTGACAGTGCAGCTCATGCGGAGCTCAGGGCTCTCGTCGTGGTTGATGGTGCGGTAGGCCAGCAGGTTCTCCAGCAGACTACTCAAGAGCAGAGCCAACTCCTCACCAGACTGACGCAGATACCGATGCGGCCGACAGCGCTCCAACAGTCTGGACACAACACAAACAGAGTCATAGAGACCGTCACACGGGCACAGAAACTACAGAAAAGAATAGATGCAATATTTGAGTGGCAGAAGATAGAAGAACCATTATTTTTGGCATCTATGATTTCTTGAAGAACTGATGGAACCTTTAAATTCCACGAAAGAGTCTTTATAGAGGAAAAAGGTTCTTTAGAATTGTAAAACTCAAAGAAAAGTCTGGTTCTTTTGAGAACTGTTCACTGGAAGATTCTTTGGAACCAATGGCATCGCTGCAAAAACATTATCTCAAAGAGTATAAGGGGAGGGAAAGATCTCACATTTTTTCCAGCAGAATCTTGTATTGTTCATCACCACGGCCTCCTTCAACTTCCTGGTCCAGTTTTGTGATTAGCTCATTCTCAAACTGCAAAGCACACAAATGCTTCATCAAACTTTCTGAGCATCATGTAAGAGACTACATAGGGAACATCTTAAAAGACATGGACCTTCCTAAGTACATGTAGCTGATCTGAATGCTCTTCATGGTCAGAAAGGACCCACACAATTAGAAAACACTTCATTAACATTATAAGTGTAGTGATATGGATCGATGCATCAATAAAATGACTAACGATATGATGTATTATTATCAGTGTTGCTGGTAACGCATTACAAGTAATTAGATTACTATTTAAAAGTAACACAATACTTTTACATTTACAACATAATATCCTGCATCCTATTCTTCTGCGAATTTGTTGAATTTGCTTCAGCCTTAGGCTTCTCATTTCACTTTTGGTGTGAAAGGGCCTTTACATTTACCAAAAATTTCACTTTTGTTTCTTTTGTGGCATTAAAAACAAACAAGCAAGCCCAGGTGAGAATAACTAACGCGGAAGTAACGTAATGTATTATTATAAACGTATAATTTTGTAAGATTCACCTCCATATATTTAGTTGATTTTTCTAAAGAAATACCTCTCAGCTGTCATCAATACTTGATCGGTTTAACAACTTTATTTTTATAAATAATATAAAATTTATTTTTTCAACAACTGGAGAACCTCATTTTTTTGCATATGTCCTAAGGGCGATACTAGATTTGCACATTTTAGAAAGAACACTTAATTGAAAGACTTTCTTGACTGTTGTTTGTCTCACTGCACAATCCAATACTGAGCTGACTAATAATCTTGATCTATCAATCTATCAATATTACAATTTTCAAAAACTGCATTTTTTTAAAAGTCCCCGTGAACCGGAAGTTGCAAACGATTTTTCTCCAGTGCTGTGACGTATTTCCAAGTGAAACGGAATATTGAACAGAGGGCAGGGTTTTACTCTAGCGTTCCTCCTCTCCATCTCTCGCTCATAGCAAACTAACGGTTTGAGGGGAGTGGTTAAGCGTTTCCCCACCCAAACTGTGAAACCTACTACGTCATCAGAAAAAGAAACCGTTCCAGACCGGAAGTAACTTTTCAGATTTTGATTAAAGATTACTAAGGTAAAACATTTTTTTAATATATATTCCCTTGCACGGATTAATTGTTCACCACAAGACTAGTAATATGCGCTAACAAAGTAAATAGGTTCAATTTTGATTTCATGGGGACTTTAATATTTCAATTAATAATGATGCAGAAAACAACTGCTGTACATGTTTAGGTCATGAAACCTAATGCATTAACAAATGTTCACAAAATTAACTACACTACATTACAGTGTTGTAGTACTCGAGACTCGGTCTCGAGACCATATTTTAATGGTCTTGGTCTTGTCATGGACTCGTGTCCATTTGGACTCGGAATTGACTCGTACTCGAACATTTTTTTTTTTAGGACTCTGACTTATTCCCGAGTCCACTCGAGTTCAATTCAAAATATTTTTCATGATTATTAATGTATGTTAATAAAATATTTCTTTAAATTGATTGACACGCCCATTGATTGGTGATTTTCTAGTGCGCAACTGCGCATGACAAATTGTAGTAAAATTACTTTTAACACCACCTACTATGTGGCCTTTTACCCTAAACTGATCATATTTTTTAAACTCTAAGTAAATTCAGTAAAAAAAAAAAAAAAAAAGGATTTCTCTAAGTAAATAAAAGTAAATTAGGTAATCAACCCTCACTGGTCTCGGTCTCGACTCGGACTCGACCGTCTCTGGTCTCGGACTCGACTCTCTATAGACTCGGTCTTGACTCGGACTCGACTCTCTCTGGTCTCGGTGTCGACTTGGACTCGACTTTTTTATAATTAAAACTAACTACATTTTAATTGATAAATATTTCGGCACTGAATAAAAAAATCCCAGCATCTAATAAGGAAGAATTATTTGGCGGCAATGAGTGTGTGCATGCTGCCTAAATAATATACCGACCAATGAGACAACATTTTGGAACAGAAGCTCTCAAAGTAGCTCTGGTCCAAAAACAACCCTCACCTTCTGAAAGGTGTGGTTGGAGCTGACATTGTGTTCACACTGCATCATGTCAAAGAAGATGGGGATGGTGGCTTTCCTCAGGTCAGGCTCAGGCACTAACGTGGCTTCCAGGATCGGCCCAACCATTGCAGGGATAAACTTTATCTTCTCTGGGCCTGGAAGTGACACATACACGTCCCAAAATAGGTGAAATGTTCTTTCCCATTTTTATATGCATTATGTACTTTGCCTCAGCCATTAAAGACCCAGTACAGTAGTGATTTTACTCTCTATAAAAAGCAATTTGAACAAAAAGAAAGTCCTTAAGAACATTCCTCTCTACGCTTGAAGCTTCTGTAATGTCACAGGCACAGGAAAAAGGTTTTACCAAGATTCTGCCACATTTCTCCCAGCTTAAAGCCGAGCCTTTTCCGCATGTCTCCGCACCTATTAACATCGTTAGGAACACAAGTTAATATCAGCCTTTAAAAGAAAACCAACAAAAAACAAAACAATAGTGAACTCAAGAACAATGTCTCTCACTCACTTGTTGAGAATCTTGTCTCGTTTCTCAAGCGAGAAGGATTCCAGCTGCAAGGACTTGTGGGTAAGGAAGGCAACAATCAGGTGAAAGTAGTTGTTCCAAAGCTATTGAGGAAAAACAAAAGGAAAGCAATTTCCTGAGTACAAAACAGACTATAGACAATATCCTGCAATTTCAGACAATTGGCCCTTCATTATTATTACATAAAAAAAAACAATGTTTAAGACATGCATATTGTAAAGGGCATATATGCATGCGTCTGTAACTGTATGTATGTATTTAACAAGATGCACAATTTGAGGTATAATTTTTGTCTGCACAAATGGTGAAGGATATGTTTAATACTTATAACAATAGTAACTGCACTGACAAAAAGAGAAATTACTGAGGAAAATCTGTATTTACTATTTCATTGTTTCAAGGACGAAAATAGTCCTCGTTCTACCATTGCAAACCCAGAGCTAGAAATTCACTCAGACGCTGCTTTTAAATTATCATTGAGTGTTGGGTTGCATATCACAGATGAGTAAGGCATAGTCACACTTTGATTATTTAAACAAATGAGTCTGTATTGATAAACTGTAATGCAATTGCTTTTTTTAATGGCCTGAGGTCTTACGGGTGAAATACTTCGCATGCACAGGGTGTTGGATGAATGGTAACCAGGCAACAGAAAGTTTAGCTGTATTTTCAACAGCGCTATACAGTAGATGATATTTCCCAAATGCCTAAAGTGCACAAGGCTTCCCGTGGGTGCAAAATCTATACGGTTTCCCAAAAGATAATCACCATTGAGCAGCATAAAAAACATGTTATATAAGAGCATGCAATCACCAGAAAGCATTCATATGCTTCATAGAAATGCCCTTACATTATTTTCCTGGAAAAAATGACATGTACTAGGCAATTGCAGAGATGCACTCAAAATATAAAACCAGTTGTCAAATCACTACTGCACAATCGCTCATAACAATAACAATGTTAATGTAAACACACACACAATATAATGTCTTATAAGCTTGTTTGCACCAAAACAGCCATAAATTAGATTTTCATGAGCATTTTTCACACTCTCTCACACCCTTAGGATTTATCATGTTAAATGAGGAACATGAAGCTTACACGCTGTGGTTGTGGGTTTGCTTTTGGATACCTGGTTTTAGATGGTGAAAAATCATAGATTGGACAATAATACATTTATTTACTTCTTTTAACCACTCTGTCAGATGCCCTTTTCATTCAAACCAACAAAAAAAATAATCTATGCTGCCTTCAAAAAACACCAGAGCAAAGTAGGCAGCGGGTCTTAGCAGACAGGATGTTGTGCAAACATCAGATTTGGACATCAGATTGCCTTAATGCCTTCCTGCCTCTATATATTGCTTGTGAAGGCAGCATTTTTCATATGAAGGATTCAGCAGTGCTGTTCTTAGGAGTGGTTGAAAGTATGAGATCTGAGATCTAGTTAAATTAACTCTTATCTCAGAACATTAAAGAAAAATAATATTCCTTTTGACACAGGCCTTTTAACAACAGACAACATTCATTATTTTCTTATTCGACGTACCATTATGGTTCATTAAAGCTTCAATTAATGATTCAATGATTAATGAATGAAGGCATGTTTACACAGCATGTGTTTACGCATGTTTTTCACAACCTTTATTTCACATACTACTTGGCCTTAAGAAAACTAAAACAAAAAAGTGGAAACATTTCATTAATTTTTTTTTAAATACCACCGACAAAACACAAAGTGTGTGTAACCCATTATCAGTAAATACGCTACACTGATAATACGTCCTTCTTTTGTGAATAAGATCACTCTGGTTAAGCTGCATCTTTTTTTATTCATCTATACTATCATTCAAAAAAATTTTCATGTTTTTGAAAGTATGATCATGATGTATTTGATCAAATATACAGTAAAAACAGGCTTTGCATATTTGCATATATAAGCTTGAGGTAAGCTAAAACATACCAAAAATTAATTTCAAAGTGAACTATCACTTTAATTTGGCTCCACTTAAGTTCCTTTTCCCTATTATTATTTGTATGTTCTTTTTCCTTCCGATTGTTTCATTTACATTGTACAAAGCTCACTCACTATATCTAGTGGCTTGGGCTTTTTGTAATAAATGATCACGTTTCCAACACTAACCCAACCAGCAGCAGTGTGATATCTGAATGTTGTGTTCCTTTACAGATCGTAACAACGAGACCTCTTCAAACTGACCTGTAAGTGGAAGTGAGCGGATTCCAGAAAGTACTTGTTGAGAACATCAGAGTACTGGTCTATCGCCCGCAGGAAGACTTTCATTTGGAGAAGATTCAGGATCATCCAGTCAGGCGGAAACACGTTGCCCATCAGATTTTGAACATGATGAAAGTCTCCATTAGAAAATCCTGGTGGGGGGAGACAAAAAAATACACAATTTATCGCTGTCAAGAGCATGTGTGTACATGCCAAGGAATTAATTATATACACTACCGGTCAAAAGTTTAGATCAGCAAGATTTTCTATGTTTTTAAAAGAAGTCTCTTCTGCTCACCAAGGCTGCAATTATTTGATAAAAAATACAAAAAAAAAAAAAAACAGTAATATTGTGAAATATTATTAAAATTTAAAACAGCGGTTTTCTATGTGAATATATAGTGAAGTGTAATTTATTCCTGTAATCAAAGCTGAATTTACAGCATCATTACCCCAGTCTTCAATGTCACATGATCCTACAGAAATTATTATAATCTGATGCTCAAGAAACATTTATGATTATTATCCATGTTGAAAACAGTTTTTTACGTTTTTAATTTCAGGATTCTTTGATGAATAGAACGTTCAAAAGAACAGAATTGATCTGAAATGGAAAGCTTTTGTAACATTAATCACTACCATTCAAAAGTTTGGGGTCAGTAAGAATTTATTTTTTATTTTGGGGGGGAAAGAAATTAGAAAATGCTTTTATTCATCAAGGATGAGTTAAATGAGTGACAGTAAAGACATTTATAATGTAAGAAAAGATTATAGTTCAAATAAATGCTGTTCTTTTGAACTTTCAATTCATCATAGAATTTTTTTCGGGGGGGGGGGGTTTAGGGTTGGGTATCGAGAGGAACCGGGACTAACTTTTTGTTTTTCCCGGAATCGTTCAAAAGTTAAAGTCCCCGTGAAATCAAAATTGAACCTATTTACTTTGTTAGCGCATATTACTAGTCTTGTGGTGAACAATTAATCCGTGCAAGTGAATATATATTAAAAAAATGTTTTACCTTAGTAATCTTTAATCAAAATCTGAAAAGTTACTTCCGGTCTGGAACAGTTTCTTTTTCTGATGACGTAGGTTTCACAGTTTGGGTGGGGAAACGCTTAACCACTCCCCTCAAACCGTTAGTTTGCTATGAGCGAGAGATGGAGAGGAGGAGCGCTAGAGTAAAACCCTGCCCTCTGTTCAATATTCCGTTTCACTTGGAAATACATCACAGCACTGGAGAAAAATCGTTTGCAACTTCCGGTTCACGGGGACTTTAAAATTTCAATGGGCTATATGCACGCATAAGTTCCGCATTTGACGTAAGGATGCTCGTCCATTTCCGGTTGTGTAGATTAAAGCGGAGGAAAACCGGAGAAAACGGGATTATGGCAGAGTCTTCAATATTTACTGTCCTCCCGTCTTTGAAACGAAACGTACATACGTTTAGATGTAATTTTATATATAGTTATGTTTATTTAATATAATTTTAAAAAGAAGCATAAACACAACGAGGGGTGTCTGTTTTATCTGTTTTTGTGACTAACGTTTCATTAGTATAACCATGGAGTATAAAATTCAATATAAATTCTCGGTATTGCATTGGACTCTATGATCGGCGGAAGTTATCGAGCATCCCTAATGCTTCACCGGAAATAACGCCGTGCATAGAGCCCATTCAGGTTTCGATATTCACAGTCCGCCGAGCGGAAGAAGAAACCGCTGAACAACACCAACGAAGAAGCGTCTACCGGAAGTGTTGGCATAACCGCGCGAGTCAAACATGAGTAGCTTACGTCGGCGACTCGGCGGTCCAAAGTGTGGCTTCACTTTTCTAAAAATTAACGAAATCTCGGCAGTATTTGTGACAGAAGGAGTATTTCCTTCAGAAAGGCAAGGTTAGCTAAACTTTTTTGACCCTGCCTCTTAAAAGAATCGAAATCGAGAATCGTTAGGAACCGGAATCGGAATCGTTCAAATTCAAACGATACCCAACCCTAGAAATGGTACACGACTGTTTTCAACATTGAAAATAATAAGTTATGTTTTTTGAGCATAAAATCAGCATATTAGAATGATTTATGAAGGATCATGTGACTCTGAAAACTGATGTGTAATCACCAACAGTAATGATGTTGAAAATTCAGCTTTCAAATTACATTTTAAAATATATTAAAACAGTCCTTTTAAATTGTCATTATATTTCACAATATTACTGTTTGTTATTTTTATTTTTTTACATCAAATAAAGCAGCCTTGGTGAGCAGAAGAGACTTCATTTAAAAACATTAAAAAAAATCGTACTGATCTTAAACTTTTGACCGGTAGTGTAGTTAAATGCAGACAGGCAAATATCTAAATATATGACTGAGCAGGAAAAACAGATGCTAATTTGAAGCGGCGCTTTGAACACACTTATTTCATTCTTCTATTAAACCCCGACTCACTTCGACCGACGACATGCGTCGCATCAGGAAGCTGTGCAAAAGGTGGATTATTTATAACTAAACTCTCTGGGCACAGAAGGCTCTTTCTGCATCTGTGATGATGGATGGCTCCTGCGGAGAGAGCGGGAGACTTACGATAATGTCCTGTCTGGTTTTGAAGGTGCTGATGTATTGTGCATAATGCGCGTCTTCCATTTGTTTCAGGATAGCGGTCATGCATGCCAGGTAGTGGCCCTGTGTCCAGAGGAAGAGAAGGGAATAATCAATAACTTTACATGTGCTGCTGCCCACACCACTGAGAAAACTCATAGCCAAGAGCCTGGGCGAAGAAATAAACAAGTTAAGTTCAGTGGTGCAGACTGTTGTTATGCGTTTCAGCAGGTGTGTGTGGGCTTTGCCACGCTGCGGTCGAAATAACACTAGCTTTGGCAGGAAGGTGCGCGGATTTATCTCTGCTGAATCCGTCTAGAAAAGCTCCATTTTGTGCGTGCTTATGTCTTACTATGAAGGGAGAGTCCAAGCTCAGGCTGATGACCGTACGGTTGACTCTCCGCAAGAGACGGTCCACGATTAACTTCACATGACCGGACGTGGGACCCTGAAAGAATAAAAAGGTGAATGACATGCACCGAAGGACGGATGAATGAGTGTTGACTGAATCCAAAAACTACTCTCTCTCTCTCTCTGATAAAATGACCTTATTTTGGACATTTGCAATGCAACTGCTCCAGCAAAGAGCTGCTCACAAGTCACAAGAGTTTGACCTGAAATGTCTGTCTGTCTCAATACATATCAACCGAAATGTCAACCAATCTTGAATGTGCGGTCATATCAACAAACAAGTGAAATGCATCATGGTTGAAAGATCAGCCTGTCTGTATTCATACAAAAGGTAACTCAATATTCTTGTGTAGCCAGATATTTCACTATGAGGTAGCCAACATGACACTCACCAATGCTACATTTATTTGATTAAAAATACAGTAAAAACAGATATACTGTGAAATATTATTACAAGTTTAAATAACTGTTTTTTCTTTGAAAATATTTTGTGATGTGATTTATTCCAGTGAGGAAAAGCTACATTTTCGGCATCATTACTAGGGGTGTAAATCATACAGTTAATCATGTTACGATATCGATTCTCTCAGCCTTTTTTGATGCCTCAAAAAATTCTATGATACGATTACGATTCGATTTGATTCAGGGCTATATCGATAGATTTATCGATATTTAGATATTATGTGCCAAGTGTAAACAACCAGTTACGTTTCATAACTCACAATACATCCAAAAATATATAATATTTATATATTTATATATATGTATATATATAAAAGAACGGAGTTATCTGAACTGTTCTGTTATATTAAAGTTAATCGAAAGATTATATATATATATATATAATTTTTTTTATTTTTAAAAATATATATATTTTTTTTTTTAAAGCAGATAACTCCACATTTCATGCTTCTGAGTTAAACAAATCCAAGTAATTGCTATGATACATAATAAAACACTTAATCTGTAACATTATCTCCTCAGATGACACAGTCCGGATTCATAGCGCCTAAAATCGGGTAGAAAACGCTGGGCGTCCCGCATTCTCCTTTTTCCAAAGTGCTAGGAAACATTCTTTCTGTACAACGACATCAACCAACAGAGCAAACCGAACAACACGGATGAAAAATATATTTTTAGGAAGAAACAAATTATCTGCGAAATCAGTTTCAAGTAAACTGTCCTGCGGATATTCTGTATCATAGCAACGAAACGTCTCAACAGAAAAAACGCTGCGCTGCCAAAACGCTCTCAAGCAACAAAGCTTGCCGTTTTCAGCAGAGCGTCTGGCGTTTTCAGCTGGCTAAAAAAAACGCCAGACGCTCTGCTGAAGACGCCGTGCTTTGGGCGCTTCAGAGCGTTTTGGCAGCGCAGCGTTTTTTCCGTTGAGACGTTTCGTTTACAGTTTATTTTTTACGCACAGTTTATTTTTTAACTGATTTCACAGATCATTTGTTTCATACTAAAAAATAAATTTTCATCCGTGTTGTTCGGTCAGCACTGTTGGTTGATGTCGTTGTACAGAAAGAATGTTGTGACAGTTGGTCAGTGTGGTTTAGTCCCGCCCCTCCTCCACTGTGATTGGACGGCTGGTTAAAAAGTGACAGTGATGAGCGCTGCGTTTTATCCAAAGTTGACCAGTAAAAAACGCTGAGTGCTCTCACTTCAGCGTGAAAAAAACGCTCAGCGCCTCGTTACGATCATGGCGTTTAAAAAACGCGGCGCTCCCATTGAAAACAATTGAAAACATATGCCAGGTGCGTGGAAAAACGCTTTGGTGGACACACAGCCTTATAGTCCGCTTGCGGTATTCAGAAAAGTTTCGATGATTTTCGATGCTTGGAAAAAACGCCACCATTATGAGCGCGCATACATTTGAAATAACGAACTTGATCGCGCAAAAGACGCGATATGTGAGCAGGCCCATAGACGCCTGTCAAACTTTGTTGTTGTCATTAACATACACGCAATACGAGCTTTTCACTCACCACTAAACGTGCACTTTTAGCAAAAGTCTGTGAAAAATGTTCAGCTTTTATTTGATTTTTACGCCCGAGAAGATATCACATGTTCATCAAGTTCGCTGAAATCAATCCTCTATCACTTTTACCAACTCAGCATTGACGAAACTCCTCTCAGCTTGCGCGTCTTTTCAAATTGACAAGCAGCCTTGTCACCTGACCTGAATCCTGCGCACTGATTTGCTAAAAAAGTATTTTCGGGGCTTGTCGTTTCTGCTGTATAACATGAACTCGCGATGCCTTGACAGTGGAAAAATACCTGCTTTTGGGACAAAGGGTTCAGTCAATCTTGTCAGGCGTCTATTTCAGCGGAGAAAAGTTACGTGTGAGGTGGAGCGTGTCAAAATAAAGGTAGCGTACATCGATATTGTGTGTGTAGTATCGATGCATCGTATCGTTAGACGTTTGATCGATGCATCGATCCATTTCGATGTATTTGTTACATTAAATATGCTGATTTGATGCACAAGAAACATGGTGTGGGTCCAGGATGCTCTACCACGTTTTTGCAGTCCAGCATGTCCAGTACAGTGCTCAGCAGCTGAACACACGCCTCAAGATCGGGTTTGTTGGAGTGATCGTCCAGTTGTCCACTCAGCTGATCTGTGATCAGGGGCAACAAAACATCTCTGCAGTCTAGAAGCACAACAGAGAATATGAGGGGTTTAGGATGACACACAGCTTGTGCACTACGCATTTAGTGTGATGTCGATGAGATAAATTATATGTTGCGTCAAATCCTACCTGGCTGTTTGAACAGGTTACTCTCAACAATTTTCACCAGACAGCCCAGCTTCTGCCTCACCATCTGAAAATCCGGGATGCTCTCGATGAACTTAGCCAGCTGAACACTGTGAGAGAGAAAACCAAAACAAAGGGTTAACTATAAATTAATAACGGTACAGAAAACTAAGTCAGAGAGGAATTGCGCATTTTGAACAAGAAATGAAAGACCTGACATCTGTGAAGTGAACATCTGAGATACGCTACCCTTAATTTGTCTGAACTGGTCTTCAAACATTGGATGTTTACATACCTGTTAGAAATGTCAACCAATTTTCCACAAGATCAATTCATTCTGTCAGTGATAATGCTTGATAGACATTAACACTTTAAAGCTTAACAAATTAAACTGTTTTTTTGTTTGTTTACTGAATTGCTCATGCTTCAATGGAAATACACGCTTCACATTTCTGTTTTTTTTAACTCTCAGGACTTGGTTGGTTTTTTAATGCCATGCCAGCTTCCTTGGCAGGTAAGAAGTTGAAACACTATAAAATATTAAATTAAGGATATTAAAGTTTGCTTTAGATAAAAACTCTAAAACGGATACAGTGCACTATCTCCGAAAGAAATTTAATTTCCTAAGAGAACTTAAAACCACACAATTGAATCAAATATCTTTCAGAGATACTGGGCTCTGGCATGAGGATCATAGCGGTGGATCTTCGTTTCATATTATTAACAATTCTGCATTGTGTTTTTATGATCTGATCCCAGCAATTATTGAAAATAAAAATGTGATTTCTTTACACACAGTAATAGGTACATTTCATTCAGTTTGTTTTTTGTACACAGATCCCATTCATTTTTGTTTTTTGATCATGTATGATACGATGGAAGTTGTAACATTTGAGGGTGGTGTGAAACTATAACCATCAGAAACACTGACGCAAGTTATTAACATTCATATCTGCTTTATGGTAACCATGATTTCTGGGGGGGAAATAAACGGTAATGAAGTTTTCACTTTACCTGAGCTCTACAGCGTCAAAGACCTTCTGTAATTCATTGATGATGGTGGGGAGATATTTCAAGATTGCTCCCTGTGAGAAAAACAGGTATAAATTGACAGATTTAAACAGATATATATATATATATATATATACACACACACATTTAAAGATATATATATATATATATATATATAAATAAAGAAATCTTTCTAAAATGCTGATTTGCCATTCAAGAAACATTTACAATTTTTATCAACTGTTGAAAACAGTTGTGCTTCTTAATACTTGTGTGAAATTTTTCCCATGATTCTCTGATGACTAGAACAGCATTTATTGGAAATAGAAATCTTTTGTAATTGAATAAGGGTATTATTTTCTTTAAAATAAAAATAAAAATACAGACCAAAAACTTTTGAACAGTAATGTGACTCTTTATTTGTGGCTTTTACAAATGGCTGTGTTCACAAATGACATC